CAGGTGACGTCACGTCGTGCGAGGTGAGGAAAGAGAAAGAAACAGCCGGTCACGCATTTGTGTAGCGCTGTTACATGCAGTTGCTGCCACCGGCTGAACCGGGCACCGGTCCCTGGCCCACTGGAAAAAAAATTGCCGGTCTGCCACATCAGATAGTTTGAGAAGCACTGTAGTAGAGGACACTGGAGAGAATCCTTAGCCTGTGGTGTAGTAGTTATAGTCCTATAACTTCCTATATATAGCCCTGGGAAGTCAGAGAGAGTCCAACCCTTTCTGGGTGATGTGGGCCTAGACACCATGCAGAATTGCTAGAATTGCTATCTGTAAGTGCCAAAAGCACCACTTATGTACCTAGAAAACTGCCACTTGGAAGTACAAAAGGAAATAGAAGTCCAACAGTACTGTTTGAAGCCCCAACTGAAGGGGCCTCCCTCATGGATCTGGATCAGGCCATTTTTTCAGGCTGGTTTGTTTCACTTATTCCCTATGAAAAGTATTGTCCTGACTCTTAGATTGAGATATTTGGAGATATGATTCATTTTATCACTCTAAGGAGCTTAGATATTACAGCAAAACATGATATATAAAACACTAGATTAAAAAAAGAGAAAGACAAATGAATGTCTGCACCAACGCTAACCACAAGGTGGGTGGACTAGTCTTGTCCCAAGCTGTCTGCTCCAGCAGAGCAAGGAGGTGTGCTCTAGCGCCCCCCAGCTTCTGGCCTGGGCCACTGCAGGCATATGTGGCTGCATTTCTAGAATCAAAAGTGAATGTTTGTTCACTTGCTTATCAGTTCAATCTACACAGGTTAACCTAACCTGCAAAGGTTAAATCTATTCAGCCTCAGCCTTGTCTGTACTTAGCCTTGATGCTCAGTGTGATGCCTAGTCTCAGTAGCTCAATAGGTAAGAATCACGTTTAGACTAGATTAAATATCCAAGTTAAGAAGAAACCTTAGAGGAGAGCAAGGGATGGACACATGGTGGATCATGTTGCATTCTGGGTGCCAGGATTGTGAAACCTAGGGCTGCATCCACATGAGTGAGCAGTTGCAGTGTCTGTTGCAGTATCTCAGAGCAGTCTGAGATGCTGCAGGAGGCATGCCATGAAAATAAAAAATGTTCCCCATGTTGCAAATATGTAATGCGGACTTTACGTTTGATACCGAGAAATCCTGGTATCAAAAGAAAACATGCAAGAAAAATGTGGCGCAGGGTGGACTCCTGGAGTGTGCCCCGAAGCAACTGGTGGCTGGGTCCTCCAAAGAGATGCTCTATCACCTGGCCAGAGCATCTCTATGCCCGCCACATGCCCCTGCTCCAGAATGCTATTTCAGTGTGCTGGAGGAAATAGAAGCAGGGCATGATTGGCAGCAGTGGCTCGGAGCTGGCTGGGACCCAGGCTCTATCGCCAGTAAGCAGGGACTTGGGGGGTAGGGGGACTATGTGGGGATGGGGAGGACTGTGGGGGTGGGGAGACTGAGCAGCCAGCAGTGGACCCTCTGGGTACTCATGGCCCACTGCAGGAAGAAGACCCCAGTGGAACATGGCACCTCTTGAGACCCGGAGGCTACACATAACACATGGGGTTGGCTCAACCCACTGGTGTGAGCCTTCAAACAGGACCAGGCCAGTGTGTGGTGGGGGGCTGGCGGGCATGCGGCAGCACCCCCCACAAACCCTACACCCAGAACAACCCCCACAAACCTCCCACAATACACCTATAAACCCGACCCCACCACATACCCACAAATGCCCTTAGAGTCCACCTGCAAACCCCAGAACCCCACAAACCACACCCCTACAAATGACCCCACAAATCTCCACCCCATCCACATACCCCCCCACAATCCATCCACAAGCCCAACACCCTCACACCTCCCCAAGTCCCACACCCACCCCATACCCACCTAAAACCCCTGACAAACACCACATCCCCCAAAAACCCCACACTTACACTGCCATACCCCTTCCCCACCCCCCAAACTCCACATCCCTCCACAAATCTCACACCCTGCATGCTGACCTGCCAGATGGGCTGGGTCCTGCTGGAGGGAGCCCCAGCTGCAGGGACAACTGCTGCACTGCAACCCTGCACAGTGCCCACAACACTGATAGGAAATGCAGCCTTGGCCTGGGGATGCTCTTGGTCCCAGGAGCCACTTGTGAGGTGTGATGGGCTGGAGCGGTGAGGGGGGGATAGAAGTGGCATCAGGGCATGGGTGATGGGCAGGGGGTGATTGAGGTGGCAGCAGGGTCTATGGGTGTATGTAATGGGCCACGGATGGCAGCAGGGCTGTGTGTGTGAGACAGAGAGAGATGGTGGCAGGAGATGGGGGTGGGAGACAGGTAGGAGAGGCCACCAGACCTGGGCTTGGAGCCCTACTGCCCCCCTAAAGCAGCCTCTGCAGGAGAAGGCCAGCCTGGAAGGGAAGGGACTTGCCTAGCCAAGTACCTGAGTCCCAGTCAAGGGCTTCCCACAAACGGTATGGGGATAACTGGGGCCTGGGCATAGGTGCAAAGAGAACAACAGTAAGGGCTGGCAGTGCTGAGCCACAAAGCAGCTGGTGGGACAGCTGCAGCTGGACCCATATCCTGGTGCTGGGGTGAAGCTGCTGCTGGAAGGGAGAGAATGGGGGGCAGACAGAGGGTATGGGTCAGGAGTGAGGGGCACTGGTTGAGTTGTGGGTTGGGAGTGAGGGACAGGGGCAGGGCACTGGCATATCAGTGCTGCTCAGCATCAAAAAACAGCTGCAGGTACCGCTGGAGCTGTTCCACATCTTGGTGAGCTAAGGGGGCAGGGACAGGGGCAGCTCTGATTTTTATATGATAAAAAACCAAAAGCAAACACCAAAGTATATCGATATTTAGAATGTATTTTATTATGATGATAGAGGCACTGGGGGGCTTCCAAATTGGGTTTAAATTGTAAATATATCAATAAAACATTGCCAAACAGATCTCTCTCTCTCTCTCTCTCTCTCTCTCTCTCTATATATATATATATAGTGGTGTTTCATTTTAATTGAAGAACATGGATTTAAATTGATTTTAAATGAGAGAACCTGGGTTTTTTATCAGATAATTTGCAGTTTTTAAACAGGGAACACCAGGATCCTTGCTGGTGAGGCAAGTGGCAGGACCTGGACAGAGGAGCCTGCCCAGGGCCAGCAACAGGGACCCAGCTGGAGGGCAGACAAGGTGGCTAACCTGTGGCCATTTGGGGCAAGCAGGACACGCTTTGACAGTTCTAAGTGGGCCACCACAATGATCACATCTTCCAGGCGATACTGCCCAAATGGCAGAGAAGGGGTACCACTCTCATCTGGATGTGGGCCAAGAGTTCAAAACTGAGATGACAAACCAAACTCCTGTCCCAAAAAACCCTCCAAGAGTTATTTCAAAAGTGAACTTTGCATCTGCCTTTCATCTAGCATAGGTGTCTCTCTGCTTCTCTCACCCACTGTGAAAAATTGTCAGCAATATTGAATCCTCAGAAAGAAAAAGAAAAAAACAAAAATGTATAAGAGGTGTCATCATCCTACGTTGCAGATGCAGTTCTATGGGTCTGGTTTGCCAACAAAATAATCCCTCCAGTAATATTCTATCCACTCTAAAGTTTAGTTCTTTTTAGGGCTAGATAAAGTTAAGGATGTCTTAGTAGGATTTCAACGTCCTTCTATTCCTTTCATGCTGTGCATTTGTACTAGTACCACTGGACCAAGATTCTCTGCAGTTCCAGGAAACTGTACTGTACTTTCCCCTACCTTTTCAAAGCACTGCCAGGGAGTTTGGTGGCATGAGACATTAGCCCAAATCATTCCATTGCTTTCAGTAGTAATATTGACTATCATAATGACTAAATAATCATTCTAACAATTGGTAAATCCATTTTTCTGCAAGCATGCTAAGGTTGATATACAACAATCTAAACTTGCAAAAATAACAATACTTTGCTATGACCAAGTGTTTTCATCAAAAGATCTCAGTATGATTCATGAGCATTAGAGAATTAAGCCTCATGCCTGTGATGTAGTTCTATGAGTATATGACACAGACATGGAATGAACTCATTAATATCACAAGTCATATAACACATTTATCCACCCCCACAGTGGGAAGGGATGAGGGGTGTTGGCCTCAGGGCTGTAATGAAGCCTTTCTATAGTCCTATAATTTGTGTCTCAAACAGTGGGCATAGTAGCAGTCCTTTCACCCAGTGACTTCAACTGAGCACATATTTAGTGTCCTGCTATCTAACCCATCTCCAGATCTTCCTTTCATTCCTACATATTTGACTGACAGGAAGCATATGGTCTGCTCTTTATCCTTATAAATAACATGCAGTATCTAGCTCTACAGTGAACCTGACTTAGTGGTATAAGACTTAGTGGTCTTGATTTCTATGTTCATCTTTTGTGTTCCAGCTGTAGATATTAATACTCAACACAAGTATTACAAATGCAAAAGTTCTGCAGGATGCATTCATTTTATAGACACTAAGGCTGTGTCCTCACATGCAGGGGCATGTGCTTGCAATGGTATAAAAAGTAGTGGCACAAATTTGTGCCAATACTGTTTGCTGCTGCGCATGCCCTTGTACATGTGCTGTAGTGCAGGGCAAAATATTCCACCTCAGATAAACTGCCTGTTCCCCTCTTCTCCTAGTTCCCAGCATTCTGGAGAAGCCAGGGCAGACCAAGAGGAGGGAAGACGCTTTGGCTGGTAGCCAGAGTATCTTCTTCGAGGATCCAGGATCCAGTTGCTCCAGCACATGCTCTAGGAGTGTGCCTCATGCTGTTTTTTGGCACATTTTTTTAAAATACCAGGAGTTCCCAGTATCAAATTTTGGTGCCGCACTACAAATTTGCAGTGCAGCTCACAGTTGCACATGTGCCGTGTGCGGATGCACCTCAAACCATGCATGTGCTCGTCTGGATGCGCAATAAGAATTTAAAAAACTCTTACTGTTAGTATTGTTTTCACTTATTATGTTAGAACCGAATCTGTCCAGTGATGAGTTCATCCCAATTAAAAGGCAAATGTGGTTCTTTTATGAAAAAAATCCTACAGTAGTGCAAAAGTAAAGTTGAAAAGTCCATTGCTTTCCTCTGATTTTCTATGATGGGATGTAGGGTCTGCTTTTGTGACTGCAAAGAAAAAAACAGTTCAGGTATAGATTCATAGATTCATAGATTGTTAGGGGCTGGAAGGGACCGTGTAGATCATCAGGTCCAGTCTCACTGCACTAGGCAGGAAAAAACAACTGGGGTCAAGTGACCCCAGCGAGGCATATTTGGAGAACTGTCCTGATGATGTTAAGGACACTTGCAGAAGGCTTTCTGCCTCCTTTCACATAGGCAGTTGGCATATGTAGAGGCAGTATCAGTACAATTCCTTCAAGATTCTTCCTTTCAATGATTCCCTGAAGCTATCCAGCTTCAGCACAAGGGTCAAGAGAGGATATTCACCAAAACCAAAAGTTCACAGACAGCTGAAATGTACTCATTCAAAAACAGGAATTAAATGTTCACAGAACTTTTTTTCACCATTCACCAAATCCAGGTTCTGGCCTTGTGAGTGTAACTCATTTCTGAACACTCAGTTCACTGAAAGTAGTAATAAAAGGATCAGCCATACATCTATATAGTTGAAATCTGCTTGTTAGAGCTGCCTGGAAGCAGTTGCTGCTGCAAATTCATTGTAACTTTTTCAAATATTAGGTCCAAATTCTGTAATCTCATTCATACAGGAGAACCCTTGTTTCTGTGTGGAACTCCACTGCAGCCAATAGGCTGAGTGGATTATCTGGCAGGATCAGGGCTTTAAGTGCATATTAAGTATCAGGATATATGATTACTTAATATGCAACTTGCTAAATTTCTTTTCTGAGCAATACAACAGATAGGGGTCTTGCACTGCTAAAATTGGTTCTGACACACTGTTTGCCTCACAGATGAAAAACACACATTCTTTAATTGTTGCTATTTTTCTGAGTAATCAGCCTCAGGCTGACTTCTCATATCAGTTCTTTCCAGATAAATATGTTTATGGCTGAGTTATAACTTCCTGAAATAGGATTGTAATAAAATGTTGACAGAATGATTGCGTAACAGATGGTCATGGTCACCATTACAGTAACAGAGCAAGATTTACACTACAGACCTTAGACAATGAAATAATTGCTATTTTTTTCCTTTGCAGTTTCTGCTTTGTGGCATATGTGGAATATTGTGCGCCAAAAAAAAAACCGGACTTGTTGTAAGTTTTTGTTCTACTTGTATGATGAATCAATACTTGAAATGCAAGCTTACGTAACTTGAACTCTTCTACCTTAGAAAAGTTTTGTCCAAATGTTGCTGATAAAGAGTAACAAATAAATAAATTAAACATCCAGTCAGAAAAAAAATACCAAATCAACCCTTCAGTTAACATAGCAAAGTAAGAACATATTGAAATGTATACAAGTCTTACCCATCAATGACTCAGATTAATCCCTCTAAGGATTAAAAACTTAATCTAACTCCTGTTAAAAATCAGTGAAGATTGCTGATAATTTTATTGGGAGTTTGATTTGTGTCCTTTCTAGTCAGCCTTGTGAAGTGTAGGAAGGATTGGGGCCCAGAGTTTCTGGCTCAGTCAGATGGCAGAATTAGCTGAGTATTGTTTTTAATATGAGGTTTTCTGGGTAATGACCAAACCAGTTCTAAAATCATTACAGATGTTTTCTGTTTCTTATAAGATTCTGAAGTACAGTCATTTTTCTGACTGCAGAAAAATGATGTAACTGCTAAAATGGCAACTGCAGAAATATTTGATCTATAGGTTAAAAATATGGACATGATTTTCCTCTGATCTACCCAAGAATATATTGCAACTCTAGTTAATTCAGTGGGACTAGTTTTATAAAACTAATGTGAGTGAGGGAAAAATCAATCTAAGTTTACTTTTGTGAGTCAACAAACACTCGAACTCCCAGTTATACCAGTTACATTTTTTAAATGTTTGGACCATTTTATTTTATAGAACATCTCCACCACTTCCAAACTATATATTCCTCCTTTCCTCTGTCAATTCTAGCAGTCACAATATGTAAACCCTCATCAATGAACCATGAGCTATAGTTTGAGAACCACATTCTATCCCATTGCCACATAATAGTGGTCCATTGGCTACTGGTGCTCTATGGAATATTTCCACAGGCTCCACAAATTCCTTTCATCACTATTGTGAAATGGTCTCAAAACAGTCACACTTCCTGTCAATTGTAGCTCAGTTCACTCAGTTTACTTCTCTATTCCCAGAAGTTTTTTTTTTTTACCAGCTGGAAAAAGGTACTTCACTGTCTCCTGTACAGCTGCTTCATTGCTTTGATTGTTAGGGTTATTACTGGTGTAAAGTTAACCAGGATCACATGCGAAGACTTCACAAAACTTCCAACAAGCAGCAAAAATCAGGAGACCAGAATCAAACTTTGAAATAACTTACAGAGCTTAGAAAAGGCATGCTGGCTGGATGGTACCCACTACTAGAAGAGATTCAACACAAACAAATGAAAAGAACCACACTCAGGGGGTGCACTGAACCCCACTGCGCAGTTGGTACTGCACAGTCCTGGCAGCGCACGGATTGTTTCTGACCCTACTGCACAGTAGTGGCAGCATCACAGTTAGTGCCCACTGATGCTATGTTGCCATAGCAACTAGCTATGTTGCTGTATCTTGTCGCTACAGCAATGCACCATCTCATGTAGACATACAAGGAGTAAAAATAAATAGTGCAAAACATAAGCCTGAATCCAATCTCATAACACTTTAGCAATATAAAATGGATGTAACTTAGTCTAGATTTATAACATTGTATTTCAGAGTTCTGAATATAGAACTGAACATCAGGAGTCCTAGCTCAGTTTTTCACTTTACCTTGTGGTGCCATAATTGTAAAATGTGGATTATGAATGATACTTTATTACATAAGAGTTGGAAGGGAGGCTAGAAATTAATGTCCACTAATTTCCAGTGATTTCTGACCCTTGAAATATGCATGGTGTAGAAGCACTAAGCATCATTATTTGCTACTTTTAAAGGGGTCTGCTACTTTTAATGGGGTGGGGGGAGGGGGAGCGTTGTCTGTTTGATCAGTTTCTGAAGAATCTCATTGTGACATAACCTCTTTTGTTCTTCTAACAGATGATACTTTTTTCAGCCTGTTGCATCTGTGGACTAATTGGAGGAATACTGAATTTCCAATTCCTTCGTGCTCTCACAAAGAAGTCCTCTGCTCTCTATTCTTTGCATCTTACCTCCATGTCTCTTGCATGCATTGGAATTGGTGGCTGCACCCTTTCTTCATGGCTCACTTGTCGGCTAGCCAGCTATGAACAAAGGAGAATGTTCTCAGAAAGAGAACATTCACTGCATCACTCCCATGAAATGGCAGAGAAAGTGAGTTGTGTGCCTTTCTTTATCAGTGGTGCTTTTCTTACAAAGGTACTGTATGTGTTAATGTGCAATTGGCAATAGGTGAATTCAATTTTTGGCTTTATATGAGGAAGAGCTTCAGGGAAATGAAATGCTGCCCTTCTGTATAAGCTTTATTCTGTTTTATCATATGGAGTTATTTTTAGGTACTGTATCTTTGTACTACATCCATTTCAGTGAAATACATCCATTCTCAACATAATTCCATTGCATAGTTATTCAAAGGCTTAGCTACTAAATATAGCACTTCATAAATAATTTAAAAACCTTATTAATATGGATGATTATGTATTGTACTGGGGGGAAAAAGCTTCCTGTAGCCACAGCAGTGCATATTTCCAGGGTTTAATAAATGTCTTCCTCTCCATTAGTACTCAGTTGATGAAGTCAGTACCTTAAACACAAAAACAATATTTAAACATTCATGAGTAAAGTTAAGCACATAAATTCATAGTTAGATATCTACATATAGATGACTCCCCTTCAGAAACACTGAGTGCTGAGAGCCTCCACTGGTTAAGGTGCCTAAATATGGATTTACATGCTTAAATCTAGCACCCAAGTCTGAAGATGTTAGCAAAAAGGATTCTTACAATCCTATTGCTGTTTGGTAGGGCTGTGCAAAACAGCATCGTTCTGCTTCGACTTCCGTTCTGACGTTTCAACAAAACAGTGTTTCATCCAGCAGGCAGGTCAGGAGCCTTCACCCCCAGGAGCTGTCTGGCAAAGCCCCTGCAGCTCTCCCAGGAGTGTGGGGGAGCCCCCAGTCTGCCTGCTGGATGACAGGAGGCTGGTGCTGCCGGCTGGGGCCAGCGTCAGCACCGATCTTCCTGGCACAGGCTGCATCCAGCTGGCAGCACCAGCCTCCTGTCATTTGACAGGCAGATTGGTGGCTCGTCCACATCCCCTGGAGGGCTGTGGGGGCGGTGCCAGACTGCTTCCAGGGGTGTGGGCCCTGATCTGCCTCCTGGACCACAGGAGGCTGGTGCTGCTGCCTGGGGCCATTGACAGGCGGGCCTGGGTCAAATCAACTTGTGCGGGGACCTGCCCCCACCCTGGGATCAGGGCTTATTTGCCCTGGGCCCTGCACCCTCCTTGGATTGGCTCTGGTGAGAGGCCTGGGGCAAATCAGTTCATGCAGAGACCCGATCCCAAGGCAGTGGAGTTGGGTCCAGCACCAGAGCCAATCAGAGGAGGGTGTGGGGCCCGGGGCAAATCAGCTTGTGCGGGGACCAGCCCCCACTTTGGAATCGGGGCGGCAGCGGGTCCCTGCACGAGCTGATTTTCCCCAGGCCCTATACCAGAGCCAATCTGAGGGCGGGGAGAACCAGGGATGCACTCCCCATGGGGCTGAGCCACATTGGGCTGCAGAGCCACTCGGAGTGCAGCCCTGGCTCTCCCCTGCCTCCCACTACTGGGCTGCTTCAAAATTTGAAACATTTAAAAAGTTTCAAAATGTTTCAACTGGCCTCGTTTCATTTCAAGGCTGTTTCAAAGCCATTCGTTTTGTTTCAATTTCACTGTTTCAAGCTCGAAATGAGTTGAAACAGCATTGAAATGAAACAGACAGCAAACAGCAAAGTTTCAACAGCCCTATTGTTTGGTACGGAATCTGATTATTACCCAGTCAAAGCACTCATTCACACCTTGGGTCTCCAATAAGGGCAGGATGTCTTGTACCTTTCGTTGCAGAGGTATAGTCTTTAGCAATTATTAGAGCATGGAATCAGGATTCTGGGATGGTAGATTTTATCCATATCTGTACAACTGATTCACTACAAGATCCTGGCGAAATCTATCCTATGCTTCACTTCAATCATCTGTATCATATTTACAAGCCCCTATAAAGGGGTGTTATAAGCATCAATTAACTCATATATGTAAAGTGTTTTAAGATTCTCTGATAAAATATGATGTAGCAATGATAGGATAATAAGGAAAATGATTGATTACTAGTTTGCAGCCTGTATTACTCGCTTAATGGAGTGTGTTAATTGAGATTAGACCCCAGGCAGAACAACAGCCACTACTCCACTAGAAACTTTAAGGAACTATTACTGTACTTAAAATAAAATGCTGCATTTTTATTTCAAGGGAATATCACAAGAGAAAACTGCTGCAGTCTGATATTACCTTAACAGGATTGGCTTCATTATTTTTTAGAATTTTGATTGTAGAAAAGTTCAATTACACTTCCTAAAGGTTCTGATAAAAATATCAAATGCAGTATTTCTACCATATGCCTTTATTTTATATTGTATCTTACACCAAATTTGTTTAAGAAACATGAATAATGTAGGTATAATATTAAAATAATGCATAGAAATGAAAGACAAAAGATACATGTTGAGCTGAAATTTGAAATGAGATAGAGAGTCAATGAGGTAGATAGATACAGGAAGACTATTCCAGACAGTAGGGGCTGAAAAGGAGGAACATCTTACATCAGCAGTGAGAAGAGGACAAAGATGAGACCCATGTGAGACAGAAACACAGAAGGGAGTGGAAAAAGACCAGGTCTGAGAGGATATATCTCTCACAGTACATTAACCTAGGACATACCTTTTAAAAATAATTTTAAAATAAATAAATTAGACCCTAACTAACAGAAAATAGGTTTTCATTGGGAGTGTATATATAATAATATTTTTATACTTATACTCATATACAGTAATGTAGACATGTACTGTATGTGCATATGTTTGTGCTATATTTATTGTATAACTGTTATATTTATATTAGAGAATGAGGGGTATTGAAATAACCGACCTGCCCAGCTGCCCGGTGGTTCCCCCGACACCAGAGTTACCTCCAAGGTACGCTGAAATCTAGGGAGCTACCATTTTTTATGTCACTTTAGGAAGTCCCACTTCTAAGGGGTGTCTATTTGAGGGAATCATAGTTTCAGCTAATCAATGTTGGCTGACGCTGTAATGTCACTCCAAGAAGTACCTCATTCAGGAATAGTAATTCCAGGTAGTACCAAATTCTACCTGGACAGATTACAATTTGGAAGTAAACTGAGTATTTAAAATATTCACCCTATTTGCAGGCATCCAAATGTTCCTGTTTGGATATATTCACCATTGACTCACACTGTTTCCTATCTTATATGTTTCTTCATGTCTTAAATTCAACTCCATTTTTTAATGTACTGTTATCCTGTTAAGAATAGGAATGGCAGAAAGCATGATATTTGTACGTGTTTCATTCTGCATTTATTAATGATTCAAAGAGAAAAAAATCTACAGAAAATCTAAATGACAGAACTAGAAAAGAAAGGCCTTCATTTCTTCATCACTAGCTCATGCAAAGCCCAGTTGACAGCACCTGACTATCATCTGGTGGTGGTTTGTTGATTAACGTTAAATGACTTTGGTGTTCTCAGTCCCTTTCACAGCAGACTGGTATCTATAGACAATATCAAATAAAGGCACCTACAAATTAGATGCTCCGATGCGTAACTGTTAGACCCACAGAATGGAATCCAGAGCCCAGAGTCAGGCATAAGGTACACGGGGAAGAGTTAAATCATCTCAAAACAGCTAGCATAATGAGCAGGGAGCCACCTAGAGCTAGAGAACAGAAACTGCTGAATGCAGAGTGTGATTGAACACCTACTCTATTTCCTAGGGATTAAGCACCAGACTCAGAACTTCAGGAAGGTACATCCTGGACCAGATTTCACAATGGCAAAAGCATATTCTCTAATAAGCCCCTACTGGTTAGAAAAGTTGCTCAAACCATGAGACACCCAGCTCCAGGGCTGCCCTCAGACAGAATATTCAAACCCACATTTCTACCTTCCAAGAGAGTGTCCTAACCACAAAGCTATAGGCTAGGTTGGCTGGAGGCAGTCTATTGCCTTCCTCTTGAAGCTGGATCACTGAGCAGAAAGTAACGCAAGAGGCATGGGGCCAGAAAGAAAGCATACAAGAGGAAACATGACTCTATCCTAATGATGTAGTTGTCAGGTGGGACAGGGAAGTCCTGAGTTCTGGTCCCTGCTCCCAAACTACTTCTGCTCTTTCATCTAATGATTATTTAATATAAAATGTATAAACAGCCCCTGGAAGCAAAGTCCAGAACCTAGGACTCCGGCTGCTTTCTGGTGACAGTCATAACCACTAGAATACAGATTCAAATGACTTCTTTCAGGCCCTATGTATCTTCCATTTCTTTTTGCACAGTGGCACAGCTTCTACTCTCACTTCACTCTACCCATCCAAGCCCATAGATAAGATCATTAGCCAGGAAGTGAGAACTGTGGGTTTGAACTCCTTCAAGCAGAGAAAGATATTTGGGTTTCCTACTTCCTGGGCAAGTACTTTAGCTATTAGGTTATTATGTAAAATATGGGCACAGGCTATACCTCCTCCTGGTGCATTTTAAAAGAAAATAGTTATGACTGAATCATCTGAGTGGCCAAATGTTGTCGGTGTGTGCTGGACTTGCTTTGAGCATACCTAATGAATCAGGCCCCTGAAGCAGGGAAAGTGGTGTGGCATCTAGTTCCTGATTAGCTTATACATGAGCTAAGCACTGGACTCCTGAGACTGGGGAACTCCTGAGACTGGGGAACGTCTGGGCGTGTATAAAGATATTTTTTTCTCTTTGAGAACTTTCAGGTCACACATGGAGGTGCCTAGCAAGATTAGGATTAAAGCTTGGGAATTTAGGGTTTGTGGACATGGGAAATGTATGCAATGACAGCACCCTTATCTGTACTGCACAGCTCTGCCCAAGTGTTCGTGCAGCACTTCAGGGCTAATGACTAAATAATAGGGCCAAATTAGCCCACTACCATACTAATTAGTTCCTGTGTAGCACCATGTAAATGCAGCTATGGAGGCAACTTGTGTGGAGCAGTACAGCATGCTTGAAGGCACTACTATCTGCCATAGGATGCTTGCCATTGAGACATGAACTTAGTTACCTAAACTCTACCTAAGTTCTATTTTAACACTTAAGTCCCTATTTGGATTTAGCTTTACATTACAAAAATCTAGTACAGATAGCATTCACTAGCATCCTTTTGATATCTCAACAGAGAAGCCAAGGGTCAAATGGACCTAGACAATGTAGCACTATTTCACTCCTGGTTAGATTACCATCTATGTGGAACTAAAGTCTATTGAAAAGGCAGCATGAAGAAATCTGCACTGCTGCCATCTGGGCTGTATCTTTAATTCTGTAGGTAGAAAATGGCCATTTACAGGACTCAGGCTAGCATCTTTCATAGGAACGTAATTGACATAAACTATGGGTTTTTTTCCACTTTATAATGTGATTTACAAATGCAGGAATTAAATTAAGTTTCTTTGTAAGCTATCTAACACCAGTAACTAAACACTTTTCAAGCTGTACAAATAATTTTAATTTCAATCAATGTTCTTCCTTCTTGTTACAGGAAATGACGGACAACCTAAGCAATGGAGGCCCACAACTGATTTATAATGGAAAAGTGTACTAAGAGATTTAAAAGTTCAAGGAACAAAACGTTTTGAGATTTTCTTCAGGAAAAAAATATAAATAGATAGCCACCAAGAGACTGATGTGAAACTGAAACAATCTTGGCTTTTATTGCTAAAATTTCACAAGTGCAGAACAGCACAGTTGGAATTCCATTTAGAAGCGTGTACTAAATTCCTTCCTAAGTACTTTGCTGATATACAATATTTATTCATTCCCCTTATAACCCTCCTCCCCCACCTTTTTTGGTCTGATCAACTTTCCAGAATTGTGATAGCATTTGAAACAGACTTTTCAGGCTCTTCTAAAGTAGACTTTATAAAATCATTAAAAAGAAGAGAGATTAACCAGCAGATTGTCTCATGAAGAAAGTGCAAATTGGACTTTAAAAAGCTTGCATTTCACATGCAGAGTACAAATGAACAAATGATGGGCGTGCTGAAAACAACACTGATGTCTTTGTTTTGAAAGACAGAATGTTTTAAGAATGCCATAAATCAAAACCTCAACAATGCCTTGTTGTAAAGAGACTGTAAATATTTCCAATTTGTGAATGAAGTATATTTCGTAATTTGTTCATAAAAGATGACCAATAAAATGAAATCTAAAGCAAAGATTACTTCATTTTTTCTTTTTTAGAAAGATCTGTGAAGTTGTATCATCACATTTGCATTTTGCACAAGATATTGAGAGGTCAATAAGAAAAGGGTGGAAAAGGCACTAGCTGGAGGAGGGTGAGAATGGCATGGGTTGGCGAGAACAGAACACCACACACATGCCTATGATGGTGTCTACTGAAGCAAAGGTATACCTCAAGGCTGGAGCTGGCAAAATTTTTCTGCAACTAAAAATAAATTGTTGAAAATGTAGTTTTGGAGTGATAGAAAAATGATTTCTGCTATTTATTTCATCCAAAAAAGGTAGGAAGAGGAAATTCAGCACAGTCAAAACATTTTATTCTGATATTTTTTAAATAAAATATTTTGGCCTTTCCTTTCAAACGTAGGCTTTCATTCTGAAGAAGTCCCAATTAAACAATGATTAAACAAATAAGCTAAATAATCCAAAGCTAAATGAATAACTTTGTTTCAGATACATAAAACATTTCAAATTATTCCTTTTTACTCAAGGGTAAAAATCTGTTTTGGATGAAGGAATCATTTGATTTTTCCCCTTGAGTAAAAAGTTGAGTACTAGTAGCTGAATGTTCAAATTATTCCTTCGTGCAAACCAGATATTTACCTTTTTTTTCATTTCACCAAAATCACCTGAAAAATATTTTGGATCAATCTTCATTATAGCATATAATATGCACATTATATGTACATATAATATGCTAAAATGCACCTTATACAGGCAATTATTGATCCATTACACACACACACACAAACACAATCACACACAATACTTAGTGAAGACATGAGCGTGTACTGTAAAATAAATATTGTCAGCCTGAGTTTGCTACAGGAGCATTTTAGTGGGTAGCAACATTACCCAGATGAATTTTGCAAGTCCTCCCTAATGAGCACAGATAGTACCTTTATCCCATGAATATGCAATCTAACTCATCAGAACTCAAAATAACTCGTTTACCCCAGCAGAGAGCAGCTTAGAAATTCTGAAAGTACAAGGCATTTGTTTCAAACTCAAGAAAGATATAAAATATCAGACCTTAAAATGCTGTGTTTAATAATAAACAATTAAAAAGACTTGATTATTTATAAAGTTTTTATATTCATTGCTAAACTGAAAGCACTTATGCATAGGCTTAACTTTAAGCATGTGAGTAGTCCCAGGTTGGTACTTTAGTTATAATTTTTCTTTCCCTAAAAAGGCTTTACAACTATGCTTCTTAAACTAGGGTAAGTGAATGTCAGAATGTTTTTGACTTTATGGATTCCTACTTGAAATTTCTGGGTTTGTCTTATGAATCATGGTTGTACAGCTAACAGTCCTAATATTGTGTGGTGTCCCCTTTAAAAGGATCTTATAGCATCCCAGGGTACCATCGCTGGATGCAAATCACTGGCCTAGACACTTATTTTATAGTTTAAATTAAAGCTGCAATGCAAACATATGACTTCTGAAGTTGGAGCTTTAAGAAAATACATGAAATGTCTAATAAAATCATGAGATTAGCCACACAACCTTTAACTAGAAACTATGCCCTAAAATAAGGAGCTGGAAGCCACTTGGTAATGGTTTGTTAAGAAATTCCTATTCATAATCCTGACTGAGAATAACTGCTTTATAGTCTGAGGCAAACTTCCAGTTGTCCACAACTGTGCATCGCAAGTTGAGTACTAGTAGCTAAATGTTCAAATGATTTAAAGACACAGTGCCATCGCCTCTCAGCATGATGGTGATATTGAGTAGGGGAGGTGGAACATCTAAGTGCAGTACACCCAAATGAGCTCCCAAGTACAACATCTATGTCTTTTGTCTACAAGTGGAAGGAGCATGTGATCTTCTAGAGGATGGGAGTTAGCTGGAAATCTGGATCCCAAAATGCCGTGGACCTGTATCAGTTCTGTTACTTTTCTGCAGAGGTGGGGAACAAGGCACAGGCTCTGAGCCAAAAAAACAAGACAAAACAAAACAAAGTATAATGAAATTGCTTCTTCTGATTTTGCTGCCAAGAATGTGGAATGTACACAAGCAGGCCAAGGACTACAATATGAATTCTTCACTTATGCCTTCTGTGAAAGCCTTTAAAATGAAAAACTGAAAACTAGGAGACCTACATAACAAGTATGACAGTGAAAAGATTGCTTCTTCTTGGGAAATACAAAATGTTTTTAATATAGAATTAAATGACCAAAACTTAACAGGCACGCTCAGAAAAATAATGCTTCTGGAAAATATTTTAACCACTAATGCAGTTTCATTCCTTAAGTGTGAGCACAGTTCTATTCAAACAGAAGTTTTTCTGAACATTTTCATTAATGATAGGATTGGGGAAAAGATTATTAAATCAGGTATATAAATCATGTTAATGATTGAGGCATTGATTTTCTGAACACATGTAACAACATATTAAAGCCAAAGTTTTCAAACTCAACAGTCTAAAAGAGTGTCATTGAAATCCATTTTAGGTACATAAGTAACTGGCCTAATTTTTCAGAGATACTCAAACTGACTTCGATGCAGTTATTCCTGACTAATGCTGCAATGAAAATAGACAAAAGCCCAAATTCTTTAAGAAAAACTGAACACAGGAATCTCTTTTCTGCTTTACTGTGACAAAGCCTTAGTGAAAGCTATCGTCCCCACCAGCAAACAGGTTGAAACTGCAGCCTCTCTTCCTTCATAGTAATGTGGAACAATTGCATGCTCATGGTAATGACCTGCAACCCCTGTGGAACACTTGGAATTGGGAATCAGGTGATCTGTTTCTATATAATAAAAAATAAAATTTAGAAATTATGAATATAAGTATTTGTGAGCTCTTTCATTGTTACAGCTTGCCTGTGTTTTGCTTGAGAAATTGGCCAACAAGCTTGACCCCTTTCAAGTCCCCTGGGATGCAAAAGGAAGTACTGTACAGGCAGTGTTTTGAGATTTAATTAGACAATTCACAACTGGCATAGCACTGGTTGCCTTAGATAAATGAGTCAAAGTGAAAACATGTCAGAAGGCAAGAGAATGGAGATATCCCTGAAATCTTATCTAGAAAAATTTCCTTCGTAAGGCTGTTATCTCTTAGGTCAAACTGCTTAACATGGTTCCATAAAGGGTTAATTGTTTAAGATAAAAGATACAGAGTGGATCCAATTAATCCTTCTTATTATGTATATTAACTTTTAGTGAGATTATAGAGAAACCTGTGCCTGCCAATTTATAGAACTTTGGTATTTAATAAGTGCAGACACACTGAATTCAGAACAATCAACAGAAAATGGATTATTGCAAATTGGGAAGAACATGGAGCAAATTGGTGCATAGAATATCTATTTAAAAGCGTTGCACTGTTCTGCCCTGAATACATATTTATTGCATTAAGACAAATTGGCATTAACTCAGATGGTGGTGAGGTCAGGTTCAATGCTAAATTTATATGAGGCAGTGCATAATCACAAATAGATATTCATATTAGAGCTCTCCTTAAGGCTATGATTTTGTCTGCTAAAGTCATCTTTGAGCTGTCAAGAGAGTATCAGCCCACTCTAAAGAGATGTAATATAGATAAATACTAAGGCAGACACAGAAGCTCTATATCAGGGCTGTCCAACAGCTGAGCAGCCAACAGCCGCCACATGGGCTACACATGTGCAAACCACAGGCCCCCAAGCCATAGGCCTCCAAACCACCCCCCTAGCCGCACCACACATGCAAGTGGCACCTCCCTCAACAACCTACTACTGCATGTGTGGGTGACTTCACTTCCCACCTCCAACACCACACTATGTAGGTGGATCCCATCTGAACTCCCTTGCTGCACTGCAGCATGGGTTCCCCCAGTGCTGTGAGCTGTGCTGCCCTGCCCCTTAGGTAGCTGGAGTAATAAGGGAAAGCAGCAGCTGCATTTCAACTGCTCTCAGGCTGCACACAAGCCGCCAGTTGGACAGCTGTGCTTGACATTATAAAACCAATTAATCTATCTTACTCACAATATGAGCACCCTCCACCAACTAGTTATACATAGAAATAACAATAAATATCTGTGTCCATTTCCAGCCTGTAGAAGACATAGCTTCATTCCTTTATAGTTCGTATTTATAGACGGGAAGTGTCTCTGCATAAAGAACTATCAGGTGAAAGTCAAGCTGGAGAGGCAGGGTTTGCATTTAAGGTATATCTACACAGTGCAACAGTGTTTTGTAAAGACACATGAGCTAGCTCTAAACTAGCTCAGCTAGCAGAAACAGCATACCATTTTCTTAGGTAGGGCTAATGAGCCCTGCAGAACATTACACTAACATGGCTGGATTGCTTCTGGAGCTTGCTCAGTTATCTCTACACTGCACCACATAGTA